ACTTAAATTCTGATAAACCACTTTATTTAGGGTTCAGTTTCATCACAACCATTACCTACAAATGCAGAAATACAAATAAGTGGTGATCCTTCCCAGGAGAGGCTCATCCGGGCCACAAAAGCACACAGAGCAACATCCTAAGCAACACAGACCTCACTGAACTTAGTTTAGTTCATTTGTTATCACCAAAAGAAAAAAAAAAAAAACTGTCTAGGTAACATGTTTTTAACACCTAAAATTCCCCCCAACAATACAAAGAAACACCTCATATTTGCCCAAATAATGTCAATTATCTGCAAATCCTTTAGGAAAATATTTTTTGCGCTGATAAGGTTTTGCATTTGATTATATTTTGTGTAAACTGATACCATAACATTATACCTACAGCCAAGCATTAGACTGATCTTTTAAAAACCTCCTTCAGCCTCGATCAATAGCAGTGAATAATGCAGCGCTGGATCGGCTCTCTAGCAGCTACTATTGATTCTAAGCATACCTGGGTTATATAAATAGACAGTAATCCAAAGTCCAAAAGGAACTACACCTCAGAGTGGCTCAAAACAAAAACCTTATAGCGGTTTTATGTAGTCAAAGTCCAGATATAAATGTCACTGAGAGTCCTTAAACAGCCTGTTTCTGCTTGCAACATCCAGAAGTAGATAATAACAACAATTCTGTAAAAAAGAGTGGGCCAAAACATCTCCACAGTGACAGTAAACCATTTTATTTCTTGTAAGTGACAATTATGTTGCCACCAAGAGTTGGTTTGGAAAGCTTTTAATTTCCCTCAAGAATTAAAATCATCATTTGTATTTACTCAGAAATCTTAGTGTGACAAAAAAAAAAAAAACAGATGAAGGATGTAAGTATGCAAACCCCTTTCACATGTTGCATTTTTTTGATTTTAAAATGTATTTTAGATGTTGTCGGTCAAAGCCTTTCACTTATCAACATAATTAATCAAGAGAAGTAAATAAAATGCATATACTAAATATTTCTCACACAAATAGTGCCTTTTTTTAAATGTTACTTTTATGTTACTTTCCGTTTTTGACAATCCTCCATGGATGCAACACATGCTGCGCTCCTCCAGGCCTGAAATTAAAATGGTGCTTTTTCTTGTCAAAAATAGCATGGGGGGGTTGGGTTTTGTTTCTTTTTTCTCTGAGCTGTCAACTGCAGTGAGCCTCGTTCTGATCCCTCCGGTCTTGGGTATGCGAGCAGAAACGTGCCAGAACAAACCTTGGTGTTTGGTGCAACCTCGATAATTCAATTACTTGTTTGCCAAACAAGGATTTTTTTGTTTGCCAAAACCTCTCTTTGATAATGGAAATTACCCTGAAAATGGACATGTGACATTTGCCATCAGCAAAAAAAACCACTACTGGATTTAGTGTAGAGCTAGCACTTACAGATTCGTTTTCCAGTTTTGACACGAAAATTAAGGATTCATTGAGTGAGTTATGTCACCAGGGAAGATGAGAATAGATTTTTGGCAAACAAATATGAGCAAACAAAAGAAGACAGTTGGTGTGTTTTGATGTGCAAAAATCTGTGGGCGGAAAGTTTATCTCTGTTCAAAATAACTGCTGAACATTATCCTCTCTTGAGTCTTGAATCTCCCCAAGCTTTTTTTGTTTGTTAGAACCGGCATCTGATATCTGGCAGAGAGACGGAACATCTAGAAAACACCTGGACCTCTTTTAGGATAGGATTAGAGTGTCCAGACTTAAAGCCATGTCAGATTTTATGATTTATGTAATGAGGACTCAGAAATCAGTGAAATTAACTGGTTTATTAGTATTTTCTGCAAACTTTGGAATGAATTTTGACATCCCCCTACATTGTGACACCCTCCAACTCGTTCTGGAGACTGTCATGGACAATCCAGGTTATAAGATGTTTATAATACCTCCTGTTTCAGGTACATGGAGTACATCAAGTACTTTTGTAAAGTGTTCATTTCTTTTAACTGTTATGATCTAAGCTTACGGACAAGGAAAATCCAAAATTTAAAAATTTAATAAGATCCAGATTTTTGTTTTTAAACAGCAACTTACAGTAATATATTTAGTAGGTTATGACTATGTTGCATCCTAAACATTAATAGGGATTTACTGCTGACTTGAGAAATGTCAAGAAGACGATCGCTGACCCGCTCCACTAGAAGTATAAGTCATAAAAGGTCATTTCTAAAGGGTTCAAAAAGCTCTTTGTTCACTATGTGCTGTATCAAGAATAGTTATAGAAGGTTTAGTGGAAAGAAAAAGTGTGGTAGGAAGAGGTGCTCCAGCAACAGGAATAACCATAGCCTTTAGAAGATTGTCAAGAAAGTCCATTCAAATATTTGGGAAAGCTTCACAAGGAGTAGACTGACTTTAGAGTCAACACACCAACAGCCTCCATTAACAGATAGATCATATGAGCTCCAAGTAATTGACTGAGAAGAAAAATAAATAGACCTTTTCTTTTTCGTTAAAAGTATTTTTTTTAGATAAAAGTAGATCCCCATGTCATTTGGAAATCAAGATCCCAGAGTCTTGGTCAGGCAGGAATTATTTCAGTAAGGGAAATTAGCCTGAATAAAATATGAAATTAAGAGTTTGAAAGGAGTCACAAAAATATTGAAGTTTTATCCAATCTTCAATTTTTTTTTCTATGTAATTTACAATGAGTCATAAATAGCTGCATTGCAATCAGATCCCCAAATCACCAAGAAGAAAATCTACTTCAAGCTTAATCTATATGAGGACTAATTTGCTCCTTACATTACCTCCTTATCGACCATTGTATGAATAAATCTCATTTAAGTCACTCATATTCTATTATATATACTGTTTTAATCAATACATCATTATTGCAGAAGATAGGTTTAGAATATAGATGGATTTAGAAATGTTGATCTTTATCCTTTCAGCTGATATCTTTTATCACCACAACACACTGGACAACACCCACACTACTGCAATTATGATGCGGCAATTTGTTCTTCTTTCATTGGAAATTAACGGACATATTAGGGCACCAACGTCGATAATGTAGAAGCTACTTGTAACTTCTGTGTGATGAGAGAGCTGAGGAAAAAAGCAAATCTCTTAATTTACCAGTAAGTCTACATTCAGATAATTACAAATGGCCATAGTCTAAGGATTATAACCAGAAGAAAGAGATTCCAAAAACAAGCAGCTACAATATGCTTCATCCATTGTGCTGCTGAAAAGCACAAGAGCAGTGTAAATAAGGACCCAAATTATGAAAAAAATTAATGTAATTTTATGCCACCAAAACAAGGGTTAAATGTGCATTGTATTCTTAAATTATAAGACATATCCATCTAAATCTATTTAATGTAATTCCTGTTTTTTGTCATAAGCTCCAGGTGCCCAGATGACATTACAGACATCTCCTCTCAAAGTTGAGATAATGTAACAGGAGTAAAAGTTAGAGTACGGCTAGCTTCCTACTGTAGGTGAAAAGCAGCCTTAAGCATAAGTAAAAAGGTATGGACATCTGAGAGAAAGAGGAGACATAATCAAGGTGTCTTCCTGAAAAAAAAAGAATTAATGAATCTTTTGTATCTACTTAAGCTTATTAAATAACGATGAGACATGACAACAGATTTTGATAGAAATTGTAATCTTACTCAGATCAGAGAAGTTGCTTAGAGTTACTGAAGGTAGCTGCATACCCCCCTCACTTCTTGGGAAGTGGCCCCGGTTAACGGTTAAAGAGGCACATCTTATACAATTCCAGTCGTCCACATCATCACATTTTACATCATGCACGTTAAGATGAGGAGACATCCATGGCTCCAGCCTTATCAAAATGTTACACTTTGTTCTTAGCTGAAGGACATCCCTCTCATTCTGTTCCCAAATATTTGCCACGTAAGGAATGAAGATTATAATTGTATATCTGGACAGAGGAACTGTCTTAATTAGATAAACTATTGGCGAAAACATCATTTCTGACATGCAACAGGCAGCTAATATTAATTTGTAATAAACTCACACATTAGCAATGATAATTATCCTAACACAGTTCCTTTTTTAATGGGGAGATTCAGAAACCATAAGAACAATGCATCCTTTCGGGATACAAAATCCTGCAATGAAATCACAGATCTATCAGAAGCCAAACAAATAAATTCACAAAGGTCTTTGAGATTTACATTCCCTTGTTTGCTGCTAATATAAAAGCAAAGTTAGGAGTGAAAAGAGTAAATCTACTTAGCATTAGTTCTTGTTTATTTTGTGCTTCCCGAGATGAAAGCATCAATCTTATCGATGTCTGCTGTCATTCCCCGACGTCTTGAGGCTAATTAATGGGAGGCTGTGGTGTATGACCAAGTGTTGAAGCCCATCATTAGTTCCCACTAGTTTACACTGACTCTCAGATTATGCTATTGCTGATAGCTCACATACGTGAACACAGAGATGTGAGTCTCTTGAGAACATCACTGAGTCACATCTTGGATTTTTGCCAAAAAGGTGCAGAAATTCTTCTTTCTGGCTGAAAAAACATGGCGGCTCGGTTAATTTAAATTCCAAGTTTCTGTTTACGCACTGCTGTCTGACCCCCACATGCCTCCCTGAGCCTCAGTATTCATCAGAGGTCCAGAGCAGCCATTGAATTATGGGTTGATAGTGAGTCTATGGTGTTGGTTGCCCGGCAACCGAAGCGGGAGGCCTACTGATAGGAAGATTACCAAGGTCTCAGATAAAGTCCCTTCTGCCACAAAAGCGTGCTTATCATGGAGCTGTCTAAGGAAGAAATGTCAGCTATTAGCCCCCCTTAAAAGAGAGAAAATAAGATGTGCTAAACAACACAGGTGCCTCACAGCAAAGCTTTTCATCTGAGCTTGCAGATGTTATTTGGCATCAACAAAATCGCACAAAAAAACCCCAAAATGCTGAAGAATGTGTACTGTGTGTGTTTCTCACTTTAAGTTGCAACAAAACACCCCCTGAACCTGTTTTCACTGTCTGCTTCCTCTGTAGATGGAGTGTTTGGAAGGTGTCAGGAGTTGGCTGGGGCAGACCTGTACACGTATGATATTTCATCCTCCGCTCTCCAGCGCCTCAGGATCCTCCTACAGAAGCTGGCTCACAGAGGTACAAACTGCCTGTCTGTCTTTGACTGAGAGTCTTTCTTTTTCATTCGTCATCTGTCAGTGCAGGTCTCGCAGAAAATGCCTTTCGGTGAGAGGCAAGCCAAATCAACCAAGCTGTCTCTTTGGCAGGCGCTACACTCTGCCATAGAGCAGGGACGGGTCATTTGACTCACATCAGCCCATTGTTTGGCCATCATTTTAACTCTAGCAGCCAGTCTTATTGGCTCTGATGCTAGTTGGACATTCAGAGCTAATCTCGTGGATGAGTAAGTGTGATGTGTGCAGGGTAATCGCATCAGTCTCGCACACCCAGTCGGATGATCATGAGCTTTAGAGCAAGTTACAGCTTCAGGCTGTTAAAAAGCATCTACATGATAAACATGCAGCACCTTGCAAAATCTTGCCTTATGTTGTCACATAAACTAGATTATTTCATTAGCTCATTTATATAAATCCATGTTTTATAAGAATTAATAATATTCAACTTATCATATTTTCTCTTTTCTTTCCTTTAAGGCAATGGTGTGAGTATGTATGAAGAATAGGCAATACACACTTAGCTCCCTGTATAGTGGTATTACTTTTTTTTTTTTTTTTTTTGCTTTGATAGTATTTAGAATATATTTCTGACTGAAATACATATCTACAAATAATAATGAAAAATATGTTGTAATCATAGATGCAACTTTTTGGGCGGTTAGGTTTACTGCTTTTTCCTCACGTCTTATACAATTGAATCCAATTGGATGGAAAGTGTCAATAAGCAGTCTCAGTCTCAGTTGGATTTAGACTTTCTTACACATGGTGTGTTAGGGATAATGTGCAGTATTAGATTTTTAAACTCCAATATCTGTGTAGCTGTATCTACTTCATGGCTTCTGGCAAAATGCAAAAATGACCTCTTATTGTTTTTATTTGAAAAAATTGCTCTTTTCTTACCAATCCTTTTACAAAGGACAGATTTGTATACAACAGATGTCATTGTGTGAAATTATTCTTACACTTGAGCTGTGAGTCTCTTCAGCCCCACTAGATACAATGAACCTCCTCTGCTTCTATGATTAATTTCCTCCTTCCCCAGCATTTTAGGAAGATAGCTATGTCTGGGTAGGTTTGCAATTGTCTTCCCTTTTTCAGACAATGAACTGAATATTTCATTCAACAAAAGCTATAGATTCATGTATTACTTTCTTTCCATTTCACAAATTATCTCCACTTTCTGCTGCTGCATCATATGAATTCCCAGTAAAATACATTACACTCCTTCCTGGTTGTGTCGTCATAGAATTAAAGTTTAAAGTGAAATGAAAACCGTGATAAATGCATATTTATTATTCAAATCTCGTCATAACAACAATAAAAAAACAAACTAGATGCATAAAGAGAGACATTGGAGGCTAAATTCTTTCTTGATTTTCTTTAACTTAATGAAAGTAAATGTCATGTTTTCTGTCCACATTTTGACAGTCTCATTGCTTTTACAATTTAAGTTATTATTAAGTTTATATTCACACAATGTGGTGGGGTTTAGATTAGCTTTTTGACTGCAGAAATGACTGCATCCTTCCTGAGAGTCAAAGCCAGATAAATAAACAAACAGAATTTTTTTTAAAGTAAATGTTGGAAAATGTCATTTAATTTACCTTGCATTTCATCAGAATTTCAAAATGTTCTGCCCTGAGCCAGATGTAGGATTCTGTGATAAAAATGTCTATGGCCTTCTGAAAAGTATATCTAATGAATTGGTTGAGTTTGTGCAGTTATTATAATATCTATTGTGAAACAATAACCAAAAAAAAAATCTTGGTGAGCATGAGTGTAGCATGTCAAACATTTCTATTATAATTAGAGGTTATAGTTTACTTACACTTAGAATGTACCTTATATCTTCATGCTCCTGCACTGACAGTTATACCCCACCAGGGAGCAGTAGAAACCTTTAACAAGACCATGACCATAGAGGTCCAGTGTCCAAATTGTCTTTGTGGGCCACCTTAATATTTTCAAACAAATGTTCAAATTTATAAAGTGTGGGTAAAGTGTGAAATAGAAGGCATGAACAAAAAAAACATAATCAAAACTCCCTGCAAACTTTTTTGCATTTATTTTTATGATAATATATGAAAGACTGAGGAGGATATTAAGAGATGTGGATTTTATTTCTTTTATTTTTTTTATTAATTCTCATCCTCCTCCTTTGACCGCGTGCCTTAAGAGAGTCTTATACAGACATGACATCATCACTTTGAAGGCTACCCCCCCTTCACTGTCTGTAAGACTCCCCATCCACAGACAGCGAACGTTATCTGCCTTTGAGTTCACAATGAGCAGGTAATGCTCAGTGGCATGTTCTTCTTATCAGCTCAACAGCTATTGAAGTGTCATCTTTGTGGTGCGGATTTTTTTGTTGTTGGGGGGGTCCTTTTTGAATCAGACAGGTTTGTGGGGACCATTGTGCTGTAAGTTAAATTGAAGAGATGAGGGAGAGAAAAAAAAACAGTACGAACATCAATGGAATCGATTTACAATCCTCTTTATCTTGCATCAGAGCAGGTAAAAATCACACAATCTCTGCTCGCTGCGCAACACCAATGTCAGTCAGATCAATACAAATTGACCCTTGAAGAAAGGGGGCTTGAGCTGTCTGGATGTGTCCCCATCGGCATTGCACATTGTCTGGTATAAAATTTTCTTCACAATACCTGTGAATGCAAGGCACACTCATCCATCTGCAAATGACTTTTATATTTCACGGGCAGCACCCAAAGCAAAGCAACTTTAGTATTCACTGTGTGCAGCTACAGTCTGTCCACACAGTTTATAGCCATGCACACCGCTGTCATACTGCTTAGGACTCATTAAAGCTCCACTAAATATTTGTTTTTGCGTCGCCTTGTACCAAGAATAACTTCAGTTGTTGCAGTTAATTGAATTTGATATACATTCTTTTAAATTAAATATTTGCTTTGCGTCTTTCTAAACGTCTACCCTGAACAGACATTGTTCAGTTAACTGCAATCACTAAGCAAGCAGGCTGTCATGCTCTTCAGGCTGAAGCAATATTTTGAAAGTTTGGAATAAGAAAATTGTATTTTTTTTTTATTTGACCAACCTATTCAAGACCAGTAAACATGTCCAACTACTATGTTGTAAAGTATTTATCCCCTTAGGGTTTTCTTTTCTTCTTCTAATCACTCTAAAATGTTTTAGATAATCAACACAATTAGGATCTAAACCAAGATAACTTTTGTAACTACAACAGCACAATTAACAAATTGATTTCATTTATTAGGGGGGAAAGTGCAACCCAAGCCAACATGGATATGTGTGAAAGACTAACCTGAACCTTAGCCTAATAATTAGCTGTGCCACCTTAACAGCAACAACTACCACCCAGTGATAACTAGCAAAGCTTTCTACAGCAATCCAGAGTTAAAATATTTTTACTCTTGTTTTACTATTGTTTTACTTCAGCTACAGAGTTTTATTTCTCACAGTCTATCTAAGATCACCCCACAGCTTTTACAAGTGAGGATGTCCTTTTTTTGGGTGAATCATTAAAATAATTGTCAACTTTTTACAATTTTTTATTTTTTTTTAAAGTTGCTAAAAATCAAAAGTTTGCAATGTCATTAAAAGTTGCATTATGGTTATATGTTTACGTAAGGCCATCCTACATGCTCGTCCCCAATTTATCTTACTAGTGGTGAGTTTGACGGTGAGTCTGCTTGTATGGCGAAGGGAACAGCAACTTAAACTTAAAAAGTTTGCACGAGGAGAAATGGGCTTGTGCATGCTCTTACACGCACTCTGCACATGCACCCGCTTCCCTCTCGGGTGCATGTGCAGTTTTTTTTTTAAGTTGTTTTCAAAAATTCATGAAAATCCTCCACTATACCTTTAAGTCTAAAATTTGTCAAGGCCACTCAGAAAATTCCCTTTTTCCCTTTGCAAGATAATTAGGGCTGGACTTTTTATTCAGCATTCTCCTCAGGATTTTCTCTTGATGAGAATCTGAAAATTAAGTATTTTATTCTCTCAGGTTAATTTTGTATTCTACTGAACGTTATTTAATAGAGTACTCCATTTAATTGTGACAAAAACACAATAACATCACACATTTGTTGGGAAAAGGACAAATACTTTTTAATGTCAAACAGATAAATAAGAGCAAAACAGTGCTAAACTAAAGCATTAGTTTTACCAGTTGCTTTTTGATCTTTTTACAAAGAAGAACGACACTTACTGCCCTGTAACTGGACATTGTTTATGCTGTTTTGAAGTAAAATTCAAATTAGATCATAATGGATATAAAGCTGCCTGATAGGATATCATGAATAAATGATATCCTTTCCTATATAAATGAAAGGATATGTTTCTCTATATATTGATAAGATTTGTTCTCTGCACTTTAAATTTATACATAGATGGTTCGTACAGATCTATTGGTAGTAGTTAACAATTTTCCAGACTAGTTACACAAAAAAATTATTTAATATATGTGAAGGAATTTCTTGCTAAAGCTTTAAACTAACATCTATTCTGAGGGAGTTTAAAGTTTTAAATAGTTTAATAGTTCAGACCAGCTTTATTTTAATGATAAACAAAATTTTATTCACCAGGTAAATATTATGTACAAAGAGTGAAACACTAGGTTTTTAGTCACTTTTAGGGTTATTTTCTTTTACTGTATTCTGTGTGTTTTTAAACTGATTATACATCCTTTATTACATAAGACGTCCCTTTGGCACAGAGAGACAGCTCATCACCATAAAAACTGAACAAATCAATTATATACAAGCATTTTTTTCCCTTTTTTCTTTTTTCATTTATTCACTTTTTCCATCCAACAACATTTTTAGCATACTGCTTGCCATATCAGGCTTTGATTTGGTAAGCGGTGAAGTAGGGGCTTTACAGTTCAGTAGCTTTTATTTGTCCCAGTATGGGCAATTTTTGTGCAGTAGTAGTACACCTTTCACACACACATTTATATTTCAC